CTGCTGCACAGGATTCAAACCCATCTTTGCCAGTGACAGAAACATCAGCTGCCGATGGATGCCACTGACCAGAAGTTGTATTTCACGGGAGAAGAAGGTGAACCCCTCAGGATGTCTTCAGAACACACGCGCTGCCTTCTCCTTTCCCCTTCTCCCGGTGAAGTGTCATCCAACTATGTCACTTACGTCTGTCATACAGTAACAGGGACAGGATAACAGCTTGGCTTGGACAGAGCCAACACCTGAACCCAGCTGAAGCCTGGCTGCAGTGGGCTTCACAGCCTGGTGGAGACCATGTGAGATGTTTCACCTCCAGACAACCCACCGCAAATGAGCAAGACGAGGAGGAGGGTTGTGCCAGTCCTGCTACACGAGGGGTTTTAAACCTGCCGCCCCCTTCCCACACCCCGCACTCCCATTTGAATCCCTGCGTGATTTTTTTCTCCAGAAAAAACGCTCCTGGTTGACTGTTTTCCTGCTCATCAGATGTTATGTGTAGAAAGGGGAAAAAGCTGTTTGACAGTAACATTTTGTAAAAATATATGTTTATTAATATATAATATATAAACAAAATATGTTTAGACAGAGTATGTAGGAAAAACAATTACAGTACCTAGCTCTCTGTGCAATGCTTCTCATGCCCAGAGCTCAGCTAAACCAATCCAGATAAAATTACATTATCTTAAATTCATTTTGTTAATTACTAATTTTGTTAGAGACCTGCCAATTGAGATCAAAGAGGAGAAAAGAACGAGTGAAGTAATTCTGTGTATTTCCTCAGAAGCTGAGAAAATTAGTTTTTTTTCCTAATTCTGTTACTAATAAATATCCTGAAGGCCAGATACTTTCTCAGTTTCAAGTTGCAGACTCAGTTTAGTGCAGCGGAGGTGAATGTACCATGGTGAGATGCAACAGAAAACCCACCAGCTTCAAGGGCCTTCTTCAAAAACAACAGTAAGGCCTCTTGGCCATCGGCCCATGCCATCTCTGGTATTGCCCTGACTCATGAGAGCAGCCACAACAGCTAACTTCTGTTCATGTCCTAAATTAGCGGCGTCACCAATACGCTCGGCCATGTAGACTGCAGAAAATGCATCTGCTTTTGTGTCACACTGGGAAATTTGGGTTAAGAGCTTTTTTGGAAATCTGGATTTCCAGGTTGGATATTGATTTCTCCAGGATCTTTTAATAAACCACTGCCTTGCTGCCTCTGCTGTGTGGAGGACGGGAAGGCTGCTAAGGTCTGCAAGGCTTGACTCCCTGCACCCCTCCGTGACACTTTTTGGCTTTGTTTTGATTTTGCTAACGGAGTTGAAAAGTTTTTACAGGGCTAACTGAGTGAATTAAACATGGTAAAAACTAAATTATTTGCTGACATTTTACATTATACCCTGAGATAAAGATCAAGGAGGTAAAGAGTGATTAACGTAGATTTTGTGTGAACTGTGCAAGAGCAGTGGATGCTTTGCTCGCCTTCTCTGCACCCACCACACTGCAGATCACGGGGGTTACAGCCTTATTCTGTGTCTGAACAGCATTCCAAGGACTGAAGCAAAGCACATAACCTACCAATTTCTTCACATTTTGCTTGCTGCCAGCTGCAGCCAAAGTTGGTTGTTTTTTTTTTCTTTGCGGAAAAAACGGTTGCAGAAACGTGGCAGCGATTGGCAGTGACTTCATTTTGCATTGACGGCAGGTGAGTGAGAGCGTTAAAGCAGGACAGGGGGAGCAAAACCAAGGGCAGAGCCTGTGCGATGCAGGCAGTGAAGGGCTCCTTGGGGAGGGAGGAGATGGGGGAACCATGTGGGAGGTAAGTGAGGTGGGACAAGGCTTTTCCTCATCTCGCCTGGTGCTGGGAGCCACTGAGAAATGGAGGTTAAAGAGTGAGTGAGTGAGTGTGTGTGTGTGTGTGTGTGTGTGAAAGGCAATCCTCTGTAGCAGTGGCTGCGGAGCCTAGGTAGCACGTATGTCTGGAGAGGAAAAGAAAGCCCAAATGCTGCAGCTTTGTAGGCTTTGCAGGACACCCTGTGGTTTCTGAACACCCACTGTGCTGTGTTTGGGGGTAACACTGGGGGAGGTGGGTGTCTTGCTTGCAAAGGGGTGAATAAGTAGCTAAATGGTAAAATACTCATACGCAAGTAAGCACCGCAGCGCAATCAAATTAAATGTAGTTCGAATAAGATCAAATTTAAAAGACAATGACATTAAATCCTAGCTCCAAACCCCATCAAACTCACTAAAAGCAATTTCCAAAATTGTAACCATGCTGGGATCTAATAAAGTTTTCATTAAAGAGGAAGTGTTTGACTCAGCCTGTCACTTAGCAATATGAGAGGGTTTCTTTCCCCTGCTTATGGAAGGGATGCAAATAGATGTAATAGCTTCCTTTCTGTTTTACCAAGTACCAAGGCATGACTGAGTCTGTTGGCAATGCTCTAAAGGCTGTGAATTCTCAGTCCAAATAACTTATGCTAAAAACGCTCTTTGTTCCTCCCTCCCACCCCTTCAGTTTTGAGGTTTTGGTAACACGGGTGTGCTGAAGCTCACAGCCTGCTCTGGTTTTTGCTTTACTGGAATTACCCAACATGCAAACCCAACAGACAGGAGCCTTCTCATTTTCTTCTGTTCATCACTTAGTACAACCTGAAACACCTAAATATGCTTCGAAGACCTGCAGATTAAAATAGAGTGAAATCCCTGGGTATGGGTAGGTTGCAGTAAAGAAGAGAGGGCAGTTTGGTTACCTAAAGGTCAGGTTTTTGAAATATCCAGATTTTGCAAGATTCTAGTTTAATTTCTAGGGAAGTAAGCCCCAAGGCATGATGCTACAGATGTCTATTATCAATGTCTTATTTTTCTTCTCTTTTTTGATGGTGGCAAATGCCACATATGAGCCGCTCAAGGAGGTGACAAGCTGTGATCCCATGTGCCAGCACACTTTACCCTTGCTGTGCTGGGTTGTGTTGCCCAAGTTTCCTAGAGACTGCCGAGCGCATAAAAGAGGGCCTGAATTAGTCAAAAATCTGTCTATGTGGATAACAACTTATTGCTTCTGTTAATTATGCTTATAAAAAAAATAAATTGGAAGATCAGGGCATTGTAGAGAGCACTTTGGTGTCCAAAAGCAGCTGTTCCATCTTCCTCCCCTTCTCTGATGACATCTTGGACCTTTAAAGAAATAGGACCTAGTATTTTTTTAATTATTTTTTATTCTTTTAAGAGGCGACATTTTTGTTGTTAGCAAGTAATGGATTCCTGAAATGCAGCATCCAGCTGGTGTAATGGGCACTGAGGGAAAGGATGGTAATGAAACCCAATTTAACTAATGAGTGTAATTTAGAGAGAGACTTCATTGCAGTGTTTCGCAGGAAATAGTTTAGAAACATTCAGTCTGTGGAAAAGAAGGGTTTTGTGGTTCCTCAGAAAGCCTTGCTTCAATCCGTAGAAACACATAGTGGTTTTTTATTAGTTAATGTGAGCAACAGAAGATGCTGTGGCAATCGTGAAAAGGCACTTGTCTCTCCAGCGCTTCCCTAGCCGATGGAGAGCTGCCTCTGAGCTGTCCTGCGAGATGCCCCTCTGAGCCCAGGCGAGGTGCAGTTTGTGAGGCTTTGTGCCCAGTATTTAATTTAGTCCCTTGTTAGCTTTAAACCCTGCAGTTTACTGTGCACAGTTGCCCATTGGCTTTTGCAGACAGAAATTTCTTTGGGGTCCCGGGTTCCCCGTCAGCGTGGCAGGGTGCAGTGGGATGAACTGCACAGCCCCATGTGCCTTCCTCCCCTCCGCGGTGCGTCAGCCTCGAGATGCCCCTCATGTCCCAGGGTAATGGTCACCCTCTGTGTATCCTCCATCAGAGAGAAGAGCCTTGTCTCTGCTCTTGTCCTCTCGCTGGGTTTGGGAGTATTTTGGTATTTTTTTTTCCTTCCAAATAACCTATTGAGCAAGAGCTCATCTTGGCACAGCTGGGCTCAT